TAATTGTGTAAGGCCATTCAAGTAAATTTAGCATTAGGACCGGTTAAAGCTTCGCCTCTTACGCGTATCTTCGAAAGTTACCTCAGCGTTAAATACAATTAATCAAAACCAGGTAGTATTACATATCGATTTTTAATTGAATTAGCGCTATTAAAATCAATAATAATATTCAGTTACTGCTTTTCGGTAAGCCGTAACAGTATGAGACAGAAATTAGATTCCAATTTTCTGGGAGAATATCCCTCTCTATTTCCTTCTCTATCGCCATCGACAGTCTAATCTTGCGTCAATTAATTAAGATTTTTGAGTAATATTATCATATGGATTTTGTTGTTCGAAATTTGATTTTACAAGGCTACTATCGTAATATCGCTTCTCTGCGAAATTTCGAATTTGAATCTTTATGAAGGAAAAAGCTACTTTGTGTGTGTGTGTGTGTGTGTGTGTTATGTGTGAATTGTATCGGAAGATTCTTGATATCTTTACTTGGATTAACGTGTAGAATTAAACTTGTGCTTTATTCGATATTCGAATTCGTTACATATGGCACAGTCGATCAAACCAATCGTTATATTGTCCTTTTCATTTGAGTATATACTCACTTAACCCTACCTAAAACTATCTTATCTCACATCCGGTCATTTTATTGTTTAGCACACAAAGCGTTATCTTGCAATAGAATTGTTTTTTTTGACATGCAAATAATAGATGTTCTTCATGTATTCTTTCAATATCAGTACATCAGTACACATCATAAAGCTTTAACCGTTAGTTATAAGTAAGTTAAGACCTGCAATTTACAGTATGTGTACAAAGAGTATTTTATAATTTGTGATATATGTGTAATTGTGTCAAGCATTTATAACATATAAAAAATAATATCATGCCTATTAAAGTATTCGAAATATTTATATGTGTTAAATAAGCATATGAAATCGCGAAATTCTATTTTTTTATTCGATCGCATAAAAAGATTGTCGGCCGAATGGACTCAAGCAGAGATGCACACGGGGAGTCGGGGAAAACGGCGGGCCAGACCAGGGGAATTAAGTTTTCACAACCGAACGAGCAGCGGCCGTGCGAACGGCTAGTATCGGAAGAGCACGTTTCGGCATGATTTCGTATCCATTGGAAAACGCCACTTTCCAGATGGCTGCTGGATCATCTCACCACAATCGTAACGTCGTCGCAACGACATCGTAAAAGAGGTCGAACGACGCGTCATCAACGTTATTGTGCATACGTACATAAGACGTTTCCTTGCAAACTTGTTACATTAAAAAAGAAAATAATGAAATCTGTTAAACGTACAATTCGTCGGCGTACCGCTTGTGTCGTGCCACCAACTTTTCAGGATTGATTGTTGTACTGTAACCGCCATTTCTCTGTAACAACGATGTTTGAAAAACTACCACTCCGCTCGGAGTAAAACGGATCGCGGGCGCTTTTATTGCTTGGTTTTTCTCGAACTTTTCCGCTTGGGCGTTTCGAGATGCGACTCTCCGGACATCCTGAATATGTTGTTGTTGTTGTTGTGCTGTATACCGGATGCGCGGACGTATTCGCGACGAGACCGGCTCTCGTACGATTGCACGGCGCAATAACATCGATGCTATCCGATGGGATCTTTTAATTATTGATCGCCGCGACGGGCTTTAACGGTCAAGGGGGGAGGAGGTTATTCGCGCTATCGCCTAACTATCGGAAGGCGGACAAACGTTACTTTCCCTTCTCTAGATCGGGATATCGCGCGTGCACGAACGATAGTATCGCTTCCGGCGCTTTTTATTGGCGCTAAGGACGACAGCCAGAAATACCGAATTCCCCTCTTTATCGTTCACCTTTTTTATATATTTTTCGTGATCCGTTTGCATGCCTTACTGAAAAACGCAATCAAACGCGAATCGAGATGCCTCATGGATCGCTCGTATTTACGATCACTTTGAAAATATATTTGCAGAATAAAAAAGAATAAAAAGAGCGGGACAAAATAAATCATTATAGAATAAAAGAATCAAGTGCGAATAATAAATGTGTATTAGCAAAATACCTTTCAGGCAAAAAAAGAAATTGTAAGCGTCACAAAAAATAAAAATTAAAGTTGATAAGACAAAAGTGGCGATAGCGGATCGCGATAGGTATTTGCTGCAAATACCGATTATTTGTAAATATGCGGCAAGTAGATAGGAGCATTCCGCTACAGAAATAAGGAGTCTGATGCAAAGAGCTAAAGAGTGTACACGTGTATGGCGAAAGTCGAAAAGAGTGCGGAATTAAATCGCGAGTGATAAATTTGTTTAACGATTAATTTTTTTTTGTGTAAAAAAAAAGTTTCTTATAAAACCTAATTTTGATTGTAATAGTCAAGCAGAGGGCAAATCATTCGATCGGCTTATCATTGTAACATATTATACGTTGCTTATAAGATTTCTTTTCCTTTTCGAAAACTTTATAATACGAAAAAGGAAGAGAGAGAGAGAGAGAGAGAGAGAGAGAGAGAGAGAGAGAGAGAGAGAGAGAGAGAGAGAGAGACGACGAGAGACGAGACGAAG